TATATTTTATTCTGGTACACCGTGTCCCGTAAAAAATAATGAAGATGTACAATTACAGTTTCATTAGTCTGGTATAAAATTATAATTCAAAATTATACGATAACGAAATTATAAAAATAAGGTTAGCACCATTTATTGCTTCGCTGACATTTTAATACATTCTTTCCACTTAAATAAAAAACTGCAACAATTTCCCTTCAAAATCACCAGTATGATATGTTAAGTTTTAACATAAAACAGCAATGATCTTTGACTATTATTTTTACTATTTATTTGTATTTCTCTTCACCTCAGGTTTTGCTTTTTCTGTCGGGTATATATGTTTATATTTTATACTTTTTGCCTCTCTCTCTGTACCAATATGAGTAAGTACGTATATATAGTTCCTTTTTTTACCTTTATACCGAAATTAATCCTGTGATTTTATTTTATCTTAGTATTTGCTTATTATTATATCAATCACTGTAGATATTATTACATTTTGTATTAAATTATTTTTCTATTAGATAGCCTATTGTTTATAAATTGTGCAGTTATGTATATATAGATATTTAATTTCTTTTCTTTCTTTTTTTTTTTATTTCTTAGAGGTTACATACTACCTTTTAAATACACTTAAATAAACTTTTGCGTACACTGCATTAAATAATGTATATAATGTTAGAATTTCTATAAGTTAGTTAGTTAGTTTTTAGATTTGTATTAATTCATCTTTGTTATTCTAAGGGAACATAGTCCCAGAATAAAGTTCTGTTTTCTATTCTGCTCTATGATGATGATCTGGTGAAGAGTTTCGAAAAGAAGAAAATTAAAGTAAATTACATCAAATCCAGCCGCGAAAGTTCATCTTTTAGGAAATCCTCATATCGACTCTACTTATGTCAGACAAAAGACTTACTTGGCACATCATACCTTCATGCAGCGGAATTCATAGCTGGCATTCTATGTGGAATGAGAGTCCGTCAAACAAATTAAAATATATTTAAAAACATTAAAGAAGTGATCAACATTGAATACTTGCAGGCGTTGATGACTTGGATGTTTTACGACTTTGAAACTCCAAAAAACAAGAAATAATATCCAATCATTATTGTTAAAATCCAATATCATAATTACTGTTTAATCATATATATATATATATATATATATATATATATATATATATATATATATATATAGATATAAATAAATGGCCCATCACGTAATACTAAATTCTTAGATATGATTTATACTTAATCTAAAATTAAAAATTAATAATTAATCCTATTATTACTGTATGAAAAAAAAACAAAGATAAAAATAGGGAGCATTTAACACATACACTGCATTATTTAAAACATCACGGATCAATATGTTTCAAACTTAAAATATAGACTAAGTCATTGCGTTGTACATACATTACTCCATTGTACATTTACAGACTCCATTAGTTTTATTTTAGAACCATTTTTCAAGTCATATTAAATTACACATTATTAATTTAATTATCAAAACAGATTCACTGAAAATTTCGTCTAATCAATTCACGGAATTTTTAATATGGCAGTGGAGAGTAAATTTAACGAATTCCAAATGTATAAGAGAATATGGGGAATATTACAGGTTTTTATTTAATTGAGTTATATTTGTCAGAAAATTCATATAAGACTTTTAATTAATATTGGATTTTAATTTTAGATATTAATAATATTTTACTTTGTGAAGAAAAATTTACAAATAACAGGAAGGAGAAAAAAAAAATACAAGAGAGGAGACTAGAAATGCCGTTAAGATAATGAAAAAAAAAATACACACAATTTACGTGAATAAATATTTGTTAAACTTGAATTCTATTTACATAATAATTTAATTTACATTAATTCAATGAGAATTTCTGGTTTATTTGTAGACTGAATGGGATTTTCCTTCGAAAAAGTTTGTTAATAGGTATTTTATAGTTATGATATTATAAACATTTATATTAAGTGGCTTATTTACCAATACTTTGATACGAAAAATCGGTTAAATTTTAAATTGGTTTTTCTATTTATATGAAAAATTGAATTATATTAATTCAATGAGCATTTCTGGTTTATCTCAGACTGAAGATTTTTCTCAGCACAAGTTCGGTACATAGTATTTTTATTTAATATTCAAAAATTTATAATGATAATTTTATGAACCAATACTTTGACACAATCAAGGTTTTAAATTTTAAATTGACAATAGTAATTGTCTAAGAATTTAATCAAAATTAATTCAATGAGCATTTTCGATAAGGCTGTAATGATAACTGACATTTGGAGATATATAGTGTAACGATGACTGACCGAACCCGCTGGGATTGAAATACATGAGATCTAGTTTCGCCGATTTGGGCTTATCCTGTATTCCACACGCGAATCGCTTCTCCTACACATTTACCAATCCTTAAATATTGCCGCCCTTGCTAATCTGTCTTTTCCAGAATGAGATATATCCTCGAAGTGTAGAGAAATCGAAGGAACGTCTCTACCCATCTGATAAAAAAAAAAAATCTAAAATTCGTAATCAGGAGTACATAGCCCAAGCTTTAATATTTTTTAAAAATGTATATTCAAATTGTGAACACTCGTTCCGTTACCTTCGTTTATTTACAATTTTAAATTATTAACTTTATTTTATTTTTATTTTATCATGTTTTTAAATTTTCAAGAAAATCAAAACAAAAGAAAAATGAAATCAGCTGTTTTAATTTGTAATTTACTGTATAGTGGTAGTTTATAGGCTCGATTGTTGTCGGGTGTATTAATGTTATTATAATGAGTGTATTTATAACCTTATCAATATCCAGTCGCTTAGTTTTAAGTTTTTAAGCCCGTGGACTTCGACAACATAGAGAATCTGACTATGTCCTTTATATATATATATATATATTTATTTGACAGAAAATACACGTTTTTTTCTTTTCCTTACAAAATTTTCTTATTCACGATTCCATTTACCTTAACAAGATGCTACCTTCACCATAAAAGAAACAAAAAATAAAACTAAACAAAAAAATAAGGTTAGAGTCCCCAGGTCTCACAAGCATTACGATTTTCGTCAAAAGCTATGCAGACATTTATACAATAACTTGCTGCATCATAAATATTTTAAATATATAAACAGACCCAATATATAAAAAACTTAAATAAAAATAAAATAACAGTTAATTAGTTAAATTTACTTAATTAACAAAAATAAATAAATAAAAGGACACGTAATGGATACATAAATGGATACATAAACAGGCTAAGAGTTATTATAGTGCCCACTTCCAGTTTCGGAGGAGTCCTAACACAGTCCTTCACTGTGCAGTCACTGTTTTGCCCATTTGCTGTTTTACGTCATAATAGTCCGTGATCAGACTCATTTTTATCAAATTATTAACATCCACCTGAAGTTTCGTAAATAGCTGTAACTCATCGTAACCTACAACTATTTTATTTACGAAAATTCTCGGTGTTGGAGCGTTTCCAATCTAGAGGTCGGCAAACATTGTTTATTTAATTAGGTATTGAAAACTCGTAAATACCCATTCGCTTTAAACTTCAAAAATCAAATCGAGAAAAAAGGTAGCCTACAAAAATATTAGGCCATTTGCCCTATATAACCTCCTTATTTTGAAATGTTGGAGTGTAGGTCCCACCAAACGGCCCAATATTTTTGTAGTCCACCTTTTTTATTGATTTTGTTTTTAGTTCCTAGTTAAATAGACAAAGTTAGGCGATTTCCAGATTAAAAACTCCCCAATTCCGAGAATTTTCGTAAATAAAACAATTGTAGGATACGATGAGATGAACCTATTTACGAAGTTTCACGGTTATGTTAATAATTCGATGAAAAGGGGTTGGTACCAAAGACTATAATATGGGCGCTCATAAATTATGTATATGAATTTACCTCAAGAAGTCAGAACTGTATTTCAACTGATTGTCTATTTTTGCAGTGCGCGGCTTCATAACCTGTTATTTGACCTTTTTTTTGTTTTTATATAATTTATACTTTTAATATCAGCAATATTTTTGTTTATTTTAGGATATGTTTAGGTAGATTAATTTTGGACAGTTTCATAGAGATATAAATAGCATTTAATTTAGAATTATATCTCTTAACAAATCGGTTTTAATCTGGCAGGAAATTCATCACAGATTTCGAAAATGGCGACGGAAATTAAGGAGTCATCAGTTTATTTATTTTGTTATAGTGATTGTAGTTTTCTTGAAAACAGTATAAAAAATCATATTTCAATTATATTTTGTTATGATTGTTACATAATCCGTAAATGACATTTCCTCCTATGCCGTTCAATGGTTTAAAATTCCCAAAAGTGTACTTAATAAAAATACTCACTGAACCGATGATATGTTTTCTTACTCAAAACCTTTTAAAAACTAATTTCTTAACTCATTTAATTTCTATACAATTACAAAAACAATTGAAAATATTAATATTGTTCGATATTCTCCGTGACCTATATAAAACTGACATTTTGTTGACAAGACTATTGCCTGCGATGAATACTAAATATTCCAAGAAAATCAATCTAATGGGTCAATATGGTTGATTCCATACTGCAAGGTAACAATAAACCATCCGACAATTTTACCTGACAATTGACTCTATCAGGACACAATATAAATTCAACAAATAATGGCATACACAACAGCATAGTGATCTACCTCATGAATTCCTTTTTCGCCAAAAGAGAGTAGTTTTAAATTTTCCAAATATGAGTCAGATTAAAATGAGATAATTTACAAGAAAAAATACTTCAATAACCACAATGTACTCGAGGTACAAAATATTAACGAAGCTATTAACTAAAGAAAGTGTTGTACCAATATGTTCGTCTCAAATATTTTATAAATTACTCAAGATAATGCAAAAAAATATTATATATATATATATATATATATATATATATATATATATATATATATATATATATATATACAAGTTATATAGTTTAATAATTTCTAAAACCAATAGGTACTCACCGACAACATCCAGAAAGCCGACTTGACTCTTCATGGGGTCAGTGTTGATCTGGCACATGTACCATCCCCTGTCCGTTTCCCGGATCTCCTTGATGTGGAGGTACCAAGTCCTGTGGTCGGAGTGGCTCACCCCGATCCTGTGGTTCTTCGTGATCACGTGGCTGTGGATGGTCAGGATGGTCTGAGTGTCCACCCGCAACCACGCCACCTGTAACCAATTCCGTTCAATTAATACCTGTATTTTGTGATAGCACGCGGTAAATGTATATGTTCCATGTCTTGGAGCGATATAGGATGAGTTCTCTAAGCTCATCGATTGATCAGGGTCAATGGATATACTTGAGGTAACCTCATTATAACCTCACTGTTTTTATTTCTCAATTTACATAATTATATTCAGTTTATTTTCTATCTATATTTCTGCTTAAAAATTCAACACTTCAAAATATTCCCTTGTATTTTTTATGCTGTTTGTAACTATCTATCATTCCGCTGGAATCCATCTAGTTGCTTATATAGTTTCCATTGGTAGCGATTATTTCGATATTAAATTAAGTTGATTAATGGATTCAGTTAATAGAATTAGCGCTTATTTTAGAAACTTTGCCGTCTTTTTTATGTTATAAAGTTATAAGACTGATAAGATATGTATGATATTTGGTATGCATTAGTGTGATTCAGTTTTCTCAGTCCTTATGATGTCTAAATAGGCGAAAAGTAGATGGATTTTTTGCCTTATATGGACTCAAGCTTTTTGTTTGGAATTTTCCAAGAATATCATGAAATATATTAAATACGAGAATCATTTATATTCTATTAAATTTCTTAACCGATAACAATGAATCATAAATTAACTAATGGCCAGTCCAATCAAAATTGAAAAATCCCCTCCCCCCTCCCAAAAAGTAACAAATGATTAATGATTAATTCATACATGCATAGTAATCTTCTGGAATAACAAATGCTATTTTCGTATTCTAGTAACATCTTCTGGTAGGAAAACAATAAATCATGGTAAAGGTGTAGAGATCAATGCTTTGACAGGTTTGGTGAACTTATTTATTATGATTCTATAAAGAAATGTGCTTTAAGAAAATTGTACTATGTTTATTATAGGTGTGTAATTAATAAGAATGAGAGACTTTCCTTTAATTATATTTTTCATGAGAAAATAGTCATGTTCCTTAAATATTTTAAAACAATATAAGTATTAATATTTCAAAGAAATAATTAAAATTTATAACAAATTTAAATAAACTTATATTTTTTAAACTCTATTAAAAACAATATTCATTTATTGAAATTACAGGATAGAGAATGTTTTATAAATTTAAAATAATGTGTAGAATATTTATAATATAGAATATATAGAATGGTTGGGAATAAATAGACTAGAAAATGTATTTTATTGTTCCTTTGTGGTATGTTCATAAAGGATATAAAATATTGGGTTTTTACTGATGCAAAAACCGTGACAAACAACGGCAAGTGAAAGGGAAATCTAAATATTTCAACTGTTTCAATTTCAAACCGGCCACATGTATATTATTTTGTTTGCATAAAAAATATACTGCGAGGAATGTTTTGTCAACATCAAAAAATAAAATATAAAAACATAATTGTTTCATTTTTTCTGTTAATTTGAAAAAAAACAGTACCTTTCGAAAAGGTTACTTAGATATTTGAAAAAATAAAATTTAACAGCTAGAATATAATCTGAACAACCCGAACAAAATACGCTGAGTCTATATTGCGTATATTGATGAAAAAGTTCAGGGTGGCGTTCATGAAAGAAAAAAAAAACTTAAAATAGTGGAAACTATTTCATTATGCAGACTTTCCAAAGCAGGTCTTCATCAAGGCTAGAACGAACAAGATACAAAGACAATATTAATTTGAAGGAATTAAAACATATTTAGATTTGAAAATATTAAGAAGATTCTAAACTAAGAAAACTGAAAATGCATAGAAGTGTAAAGAACTTTTATATATAAAATTGTAAAGAACATTTAAATATAAACTGGGTAAAAAAGTATTAAAATCATTCAAATATAAATGCAATTAACTACAAAATATTTTTTAAAAAATTAAAATCGGTAACTATGAATGTATAAGAAAAAACTGAATGCAATCAAAACAATAGATGAAACACGTAATCATAGATATAGTATAAAAAATACGCATCGTATCGCTAAAAAGACCCATTTACAAAAACTTCAAACCTTCTAATCAAAATTATTGTGACTCATAATAAAACCACCTTGGTGACTAAGAAAAAAACTCGGAATGCTGAACTTCTTTTTAAACTTAGGACTGTACTGCCATATACTTACTATCTTATCCTTCAATCTTTTCTCTTCGGCAGATTTTTTTTCAGATCGGAAGGGCTCGGAAATGTCTTCAGTCCGCCCAATCTTGGAAGGAGTTCCCCAAGGTTCAACACCAGCCACTATATTTTACGTTATATACACTAACGATATACCTATTAACGGTGAGATCTTGACAGCTATTTATGCAGACGATACAACAATTCTCACAAAACATCAAGACACTACACAGACCTAGCTAACTATACAACATCATTTACTTAAATTACAAGATTTGTTCACACTATGGAAAATTGGACTTAATCATGAAAAATCCAAATATATAATATATACTCTTCGAAAAAATACCTGCCTTCCAGTTTATATTGAGAAAAATCAAATTCCTCAAACGGACACGGTACTTTACGGGCCCGCATTTCAAAATGAAACGTAAAACACTTAACAAATGACTCAAACTACTTTACTCCCTTTTTTTCTAAATATTCAAAACTAAAACTAAAAGAGAAACTGAATACATATAGATACTTACTTAAACCCATATGGACGTATTCATCACAGATATACGGTATCGCTAAAAAGACCCATCTACAAAAACTTCAAACATTCCAATCAAATTTATTGCGACTCATAACAAAACTACCTTGGTACGTGACTAACAATAAACTCTGACTACTTACCTTAATCTCTCAACAGATGACTAACATATAACGACCCTTATCAACGATTTTACACTAATTTAAGCGGACATAATAACAAACTACTAAGAGACACGGCCACATCTGACATACCTCATAAGGAGAAGATGAAAAAGGCGTTGGATGAGAGATCTCTTTCTTTAAACAACCTAATTGAAACAAACCAGGGAAGAGATGCCGCTGAGTACTTTCCTTCCTTATGCCTGTCATGTCATTTATATCCTGTATCTCCATTTTTTTTTCTTTGGTCATTATTAGCGAAACATTAGTTCGATTAATGACCAACCCCTGCACTTGCACGCCTTATCATAAAATCAGAATTTGGAATAATGGAATTAGACTGGAAGGCATTACATCATCGAATACGAATCCTACCTTAAATCCCTTAATGGTAGGCCTCCTCAAGTTAGATAACCAATCAAAAAGATCCAATTATGAGGCTAAATATTATTGAATGAGGCTGCTTGAGAAAGCAGATCCGAGGCTGGATCTGTATAAAGACAAATTGACTTAGATAATTTACTTTAATAACGTTACAGCCGGCTCTCTGTAACCCTCACCCTTTATCGATTCCTTTTGAAATAATTCCAATAATGAGCTTCATCAGCCTTCTCTCCAGGCTCCGGCATTAATCTTCAACGACCTTATTTGCCTTTCTTTCGAATAATTACTTAATCCTCTTAATTCGGATTATTCGTATTTCCTCATTATGTAAGCTAAACAAGATGTCTGTATTAATAATTAATTACCAACCGTCTTATAAGTTTCGAAAAAAAAAAAAAAAAGATCTGTCTTATAATTTCATATCTTTTAAACATATAATCAAACTTTAAGGGTAGGTGCAGTGTTGCCGTTTGTACGAGGATCCTCGTATTCGTACGAGGTTATGACGTAATGTATGAGGTCAAAGGATCGACCATCCAAGTACCTCGTACATAATTTTTGCTGACGTATGCAAGGTTATATTTTTATGAATGAAGTTTAGAATTGTTTCACAATTATTTTTACTCTGTTATTATTTATATTGATATGAAATACTGAACTGTTGCTTTATAGACAAATGAATTGAAATTATAGCTTCTTTAATTAGAGTATAATTATTATTTCCTTCATAAAACCATGATTGTATATATTTGTTTTGTTTTTAATTTTCAAGAAAAATAATTTAAAAAAAGATATTTTGATTTTTATCGAGTATAAAATAAAATATAAGAAACTATATCCTTTATTTCCTTCATATAACTTTTTTTGTAAATATGTATTTTTAAAATTATATTGTCAAAGAAAATTAAAAAGAAATTTTTATCGAGTATAAAATAAAATACAAGAATGTATATACATTATTTCCTTTGTAATTATTGTTTCCTTCATAAAACTGCAATTGTAAATATATTCTAGATAAATTAACTTTTTTTTTTAAAATTGTTGCCGTAATTTAAAAAAAATATTTAATAGAGTAAAGTCATAATAATGTATTTTTCCTTTATTTTTAATAATTATAGGAATATTGTATTCTTTAAAAAGTTTGTTTTGCTATTTTAATTTTTATGTAAAGATTCCTTATATAAACTTTTTTATGTATTGTATTAGACTAATTTTACTTCTTGAACCATTAACTTAAAAAAAAAAATGTAAAAAGGCTTTATAATATATGAATAGAGCTAAAAATAAAAAGCTCTGATCTAATTTTACTATAAAAAAAGCAAAACAATAACACTGGGCCTACAATTGTACGAGGTATTAATGAGCAAACTTACGAGGATGTACGAGGCTCGAGATACGAGGATTTGTCACAGAGCACGCTGCAACACTGGATAGGTGTAAGGAGTTACTTTCATATTTAGACGCAAGGGGACCTAAGCAAGGACTTCGATTGATTTTATCAATCTTTAATTTCCTATCGCTAATAATTTAGAGACGTACTGTAATCTTACCAAATTTTCGATGTGCAGTTTTTAGCAGACTTCTAATGCTGAATCCGAAAAACTCATTTTTAGCGATTGCTGTGGTCGTCTGTTTGAGCTGTAATTACTTTTTCAAAAAGTTGGACACATTGCTTACTTCTTGTTTTTGTTTCCTGGGGTTTTGGTTCCCGGTTCTTATTTATCAAATATGACACTCAGTGCATTATAGCAATAGCCGAAAAAGTGTATTGTATATGAAACGCATTGGCAAAACGACCCGGG